GCCCTGTGGGAAGTCCAAGGACCACCCACCTCCATCCAGGTCTAGTAAGGTGAGCATCCAAACTGCCTAGGCTCCCACAAAACCAATAGGTGCAGTAGGATCAAAAACCCATTGCCATTGTTCTTGGGGTCTCAGTAGTCCTCATTGTCTGTCCCTTATTAAAAGAGCAGAGTTTGTAGCCTAACAATACCTCACAAGGTTAACTGAGGAGCATCCGTGTAGGACACTGGGGTCGTGACCCCCTTTGGCAAACCTCTAGCCCCCAAAAATATTTACATTGCGATTCATAACAATAGCAAAATTATAGTTATGAAGTAGCAACAAAAATAATTTTAAGGCTGGGGTCAGCACAGTATTAGGAACTGTGCTAAAGGGTCGCAGCATTAGGAAGGTTGGGAACCCCTGGCAGAAGATGTTTTCTTTCAGCATGGAGGTATCCTTGCCAGTGTACAATCACACATGCATCAAGACAGGCTGTGAGAAACGGAGTGTCCAGCCCTCAGCAGTGCCTTGGATGGTCAAGATGGATGTGCATGAAACAGGTCTTTAAGGAGACTGCACAGATCTTTTCCCCGTCACTCGAAGGATAGAAGGCTCTGCTGCTATACACCCTCCTTACCCTGGAAAGAAAAGTCCTTAAGACAGATCTGAAAAACCCTTCTGGCAGAAAAGCACAGGGTTAGGATGTGACTGTCTTCAGCAATGCTGAAAATGAAAACCTTAGCCAACTTCCCAGCTCCAGGTCCAGGGCAACCCCCGATGTGCAGGTCAGATAGTAAACATTTTATAAGTAAGTGTTGGCTGCTCAATAGCTAGCCAGCCACATGGGGCCAAACATCTAAATGCTAAACAAACAAACAAACAAACAAAATCTGGAATTCACCTGCAGCAATAGAGAAGAACCCACGCCGCTCTATTATTTCCAGGAGTGAAAAAAACAGCTCGAAACTGAACTCTGCAGCAATGCCGAGGATGCCAGAAAGAGCAATTCAAAACAGACTGCTAACATCGTAATTCACTAACCTCCGCCTCACAGAGGTCACTGTCCATTCGTAACCTCATTTACAGAGGTGTTTTTATGCCAAAGGAAAAGCAGTTCCCCTGCATACGCTCATTATATCATAGGCAAGACTGGGCTAACCACGTCCTCCCTGATTTCCTTATGTGAGGTGCTGTTTTCTTAGCAGATGAGCCCTGTAATTCCCAGAAAACTCAGAGCCTATTCAGTTGAAAGAAATGTGTATAAGTGTGTTCACCAAAGAAGATATTTCCTCGGCAGCCCGCCTCTTGTCGGTCTTAATCAAAAATAATATAAGCCAAAGAATAAAAAAAAAATTCCAAATTTTTCTAGAGTTTCTTTTTGGAAAGTTTTGCAGACTAAAAGGTGATGGCTTTGTAAACTATTTTCTACAATGAAAATTGATGAGATTGCCTCAATACTGTATGATTTTCATTCAGGAAAAGACGTGATTTATTGAACATATAGAATATGAGTTACTTAGAAATTTCTCAGAACATATTTTTCTGATTTGGGCAGCTTCTTTGCATTATACAACTGGATAAAATTCTACAGTACATTGCTTTTAATCACAATAATACATAAAGATGAGATCATATGGCATCTATGTATGGGAGATTTTTTAGTAACCACTTCTCTTACTTTTATACATTCAAAAATATTAATTTAGTGGCTAAGTTTGGATATAAATTCTACAGATTCATCAATGTATCATTTAGCTATGATTTCTGTCTTAATCATAATTTAATTTTTTTCATCTATAAAATAGCCACTTTATTTTTTAAACAGGCTTCTAGACTTTTATTATTTCTGCCTGTCTTACAACATCTGCTATTTTCTGGCCAAGTGAAAATTTTTTCAAATAAAATTAGGTTTATTTTATACTGCAGGGGACCCTCCTGCAAGAGCATGAGTTATTTCTTAGACTGACTTAAGCCCACCCTACGCCATAAAGTACGTTGGTGTTCACCAGAAATAGTTAAGCTTGAGAGAGGCACTCCTCCCTGCGAACTCTTTCAAGATCAAAGGCTGGTTAAATCTGGGGCTGGAAACCACTCCACGAGGTTATCTCAGGAGGACCTCTGTAATCATTGGCTCACAGAGGAAAGGACACCTACACCATTTGGAACAGACTACCTGTCAAGTTTCTAAAGCCTTCCAGAAAAGGAAACCACACAGGCTACCCCTGCAACCTTCTTTCTCGAATCTAAATGCAGGGTGGAATGCCGCAACCCTTGCTGTGATTCCTGCACGCTGCATGCCCAGTCTTCCTGCAGATACAATTCCCTCTCTTCCAAGCACACCTCCTGCATCCATCGGTACTTCTCTCCCTGGTAGTTCAGGAGGAAAGAGGAGGAACTTACCTCCCATACTGACTAAATGACCCGGAGGGAGCCCTGCACAGTGGGAAGCAAGGAGTTGTTCTTTACCTTTGCAAATACCAAACTCGTCGCCGAAATCATCCTCCTCACTGTAAAAGTGACATTTCAGCCCCGGACCACACTTGACGCCGTCCATGCCTGAGACTGTACGGTAGCAGGTTTCCCCGGGTCCCGCGGCGCACACCTGACAGCAGCCACAGTCATCCAGCACTGTCCTCTTGCAACGCAGGCTACTTCTGCACTCACTGTTGTCGCACTGATCTGGGCAATCCACCGCGTACTTGGCGCTCCAAGCCATAGCCAGGTGCACAGGTACCAGGAGCGTGGTCAGCAGCAAGAGGCTCTTCATGTCTCCCAGCTGGCTCGGGCTCAGCTCCCTGCCGTCGCGGTCTTTGCTGGCGGGAAGCAGCCGTCCAAAGTAGTAGCTGAGCTTCTGCCTACACGTTTATGAGTTTTATACACTGCGTTGCCCGCATGCTTCCCCGTCATCAATTTCCTCAACCCAGCGGCAGCGCTGAGCTCCTGCCAGCCTCTCTTGTTTTAGTTTATGAAATCCAGGATGAAGGCTGGGATTAACATGCCGCTGCCATCCAGGAATTGAAAAGCCCAAGCTGATGTCATCTGTTATGTTTAGATGGTTGTTTTGCATGAAGGCTGAAAAACTCCGCTCACATCCGTCTCAAGGACTCAAGGACGTCTGCGAAGAGGGAATAAGGAAGGTCGTATAGCCCCCTTCTGCACAGGAATTGTTCTGATACCGACATAACACTCGGGATACAGCTTTGTTTCACTGTCCCTTAGTCCTGGGGAGACTGACACAGGCATGAATCAAGCCAGAAGAAGCATCTACCAAATAAAAATAAGCACTTGGTATTTCTCCTCGATATATAATTGTGAGATCATTTGGAAGAAGAAATGGTTATATTGTGTTTTTTCAAGACTTAGAAGAAAGAAAATATTTGGATAGAGGCCTTTTAAAGACTTCTTGCTTCCTTCCATGCGCCTCCTCAATTGTTATTTCTAAAGCAATTTAGGCTGTTCGTGGTCAAGTCTATCCTGGCTGTCACTGTGTTTAGCTAGATATGCCACAAGCTAAGCAATTTCTTTAATCAATACGAGAGAAAGAGAGAGAGAGAGAGAGAGAGAGAGAGAGAGAGAGAGAGAGAGAGAGAGGGAGGTAAGGTTGTCCCTGCATTGTTTCTGAATTACTTAGTTCTGGAAGAACTCATCAGTTGGGGCTGCTCCTGCCCCAAACTCCCTGGGGAAAAGGCTCATCCATCACCCAGTCTGTTTGTCCGTGATTGCATCCATTTGGTCCTTCTTCTCACCTCCTGGCATCTATCAGAGCGTTTGCTTAAAAACCGCCAAACAAGGCAGTGAGCCCAAAGAAACAAGTGAGCCAGCAGGGAAACAGGAACGCAGCTCCAGAAAGGCTAGTCATGGGGAAGGGAAAACATTACCCACCAGGAAGCAGGGTCTTCACGCGGTGGAGGGACACAGAGCGTAGCCACACCAAGGAAAACAATAGCCCTCTTAAAGTATTGGCTGGCCCAGGGCCTTTCTGTAGCCAGATTTGTGAGCAGAGGATGCAGATGTCAGAAAAGACAGGGAAAGCCTCACACAACAGCACGTTCAGTTTTACGATTCCCACCCCGTTTGTCAATCTAGAAATAAAGCCTCTGCTGCTCGGTTAAAGAAATGACCCAGAGAAGTGGGTAATTCCTGTCTGTCATAACGTGACTTTGGGGCATCCATGGAACCCCCTCTTCCTCTGTGAGAGCTGGTAGTGTCAGAGCACTTGACCCCTGAAAGTTGTGTGCCCTCTAAGAGATAAAGATGTGACATCTTGATTAGGCGGTGCCAGGGTACCTTTGGGGGAATGGAGGCAGCAGAAACAAAAAGTCAAGGAAATGGGAAAGTGAGAAATGAAGGCAAGACTTCTAGTTCCCAAATTTCCCAAAAATTTTTCATGACAATCTAACTTGAAACAGTCTGTGCTCATCTCTCCTGGAGCAAACATGCACTTAGCAGGTGGGACACTCATTGTGGTAGTAGTAGCTAATGTCTGTGCCAAGCACTGTTCTTTGTGTACATATAAATTATATAAAGTAATTCACTGTGTAGTTAATCATACAAAACAATTACTTTAGACATTTCTGTTTATGTGATACACTTTGATCATATTAAACCCTTTGAATATCCTACCTTTAATTTTTTAAAATTAATTTATTAATCATTCCTCCACTTAACTCCTTCTAAGTCCATCCAAAGAAAGCCACTGACTCCAATTCGTGCTGCCCGCCTGGACCCTAGGTAACCTACCAGGGGCCAGACCCTTAAAAAGTAACTAACCCTCCTTCTGTCAGAAGTTAGGATCGTCAGTAGTTCCTCAGCTACAGGAGGGGTAGGGCTTGTGAGGCTGCCCTCCTTCCCTACTGGGATATCCACTAGCTTGGCTTGTGCTGGCAACCATAGCTGCTGAGGTCAAGTGCAGTGGTCCTACCGTGCCCAAAACACATTTGTTTTGCTCCAATTCTCCCAGACCCCTGACTCTTACAATCACTCTATCCCCTCTTCCTCAGTGGTCCCTGAACCTTGGGGGACAGGGGTGTGGTGTGTTTCCCGCTGTGGCTGAGCTCTCTGCAGACACTTCTTTCTTCTTTAGCCATTTGTGAGTTTCTGCCTTACCCGCTGTCCACTATACTTAGAAAATCTCCGTGAGGTCTGAGCAGTGCCTGAGTCTACGGGTCCTATTCTCCTTGTTTATTCCTCCTTCCAGTCTCCCTGCTTCATTCCTTTATACCCAATGGGCTTCTGCGTACTTTTCTTTCTTTGTTCTCTACATTTCACTATCAGGGAAAATACGGACTTTGTGAGGCTGTGAAAGTGATGTTCTTCAATGTTTTTCTTTCTTATTTACTCCCACGATCCCCCTAAATATTATGAAGCTACTACGAATATCATGAATCACTTTTTGGATGAAGAAGCAGAATTTTAAAAGGGGTTAAATAATTGACTCTTGGCTCTTATAATTAATTGTCAGAGGTTAATGAGAGTCGTCTAAGTCTAATGTCAGGGCCACCCTACTGCTCATTACAACCCAAGTAAGCCTCAGTGGACAACACGCCAATGGTCTGGTTCATGACTTATGCTGTGTCCTATTCAGATCGTGTTGAACATCACTTTCTGAGAAAATAGTGGTCAACTGGAAGTATGGTCAATAATGTCTAATCTTTACAAAGATCTTACTATGGGCAGACACTAAGCTACGCACTTTATACAGGTTACCACGTTTAGTCTTCCAAACAACACGAGGAACTAGGTATCATTCATATCCCCATCCTAGAGATAAGAAAATAGATGCCGGGAGAGGTTAAGTATCTGGTCGAATATCACATAGTAAACAATTAAGTTAGGACTCCGGCCCTAAGATCAGTGGGCTCTGGACACTAGCATACAAACTCCAAAGTCAAATACACATAGGAGGCAGACAATTGATCCAGGTGGCTGAAGTACTGAGCTGTGCCAGTAAAGTCATCAAATGGACTCTTTCCACCTGGAGACCATACAAACCACAAATACTTTCCACTATGCAAGACAAATGAAGACCAAAATGATACCACGTTTGGCAAATGCAATGGACAGAGAGAAAGAATACATTAATGGTACCAAACCCATAATACCACGCCAAACACAGTCCACAGAAAACAGCAGAAATAGGATTGCCAGAGTTCATCAGTGATGAAACTATCTCAAGGCATAACATCTAACTATTTATTTGGGGGAAATTATGATCACTTGTTTCTATGACTCCACAAAACCCCTTTGTCCCAGCAATCCTGATGAGATCTTTTTTTTTTTTATTTATTTCTAACTTCTCCAGCGTTTCAAGTAGGGAAGTTACCAATAACCCAAAGGTGGTTAGGAGATCACAGCATCGTTAATCAAGAAGCTGACTTTCACCTTCAGCCAGCACAGAGAAAGGAAGGTAAAGGGAAGGCTGGTGTGGATCCCTAAGGTCTGCCTCGCTGGCTAGCTCTGCACTTGCGTCTGGCACATACCTACTCCTGCTCAGCCCGTGCAGCCGCTGTCAAAGAGTGAGAAAGGACAAACTCTCCCAGTTCAAGTTACAATGAGTCAGTCCAAATCATCCCTGGGTGCCGAGGCGATAGCAAGTGATCTTCCAGCAGAGAACAGAAATGATTCAAGCAGAGAGTCTGTCAGCCCGGTACATCCTGTACACCCAAGTGTCGGTGCGATTCTTTCCTTGAACTCACGGTCCTAACCCAAGAAAATAAGTTGACGTAATATGCATTGATAATTTGTGCATTATTTTCCACGTAATGACTGGTTGCAATCAAATACCAAGGCTTTATTTCTGGATAGACGAAGATCTGGTGGGAAAGATCCTGTATGCTTTCCAAACCTTCATGGTCAAGTCAATTGTACCTTATTAACTGTGCCTTCTGAATAAACCATCTCTACCAGATAATGTTGATTTGATTTAAATGAGAACGGCAGGCTTAAAAGAAAGTGTTGCCAAGGAGAAAGTGGAAACACGTATAAGAAAATTTTAGGTATATTAGAATTGATTTTCAGCTTAATTTTTTTGTGCAGGGGGGGCATCTAAAATCTCCCTGCTTTGATACCAGCTCTAATATTCCTATTAGTGCCTGTTGCAAGGACTAGCACATAGCAGAACCTACTAAATACATAAACACAACCACCTGTTTCTCTCCTTTTCATTCTCTTTCTACCAAGAGAATCAAAGTGAGGGTCAGGTTCTTGAATGGGCTGAACTGACATACAGAACAAACTGTTCCCTCGAAGGAAGGAGATCCAGACTTCAAGGAAGAAGCCACTAACCAGACTAGACTATAATCCCATCATGTCAGCTCCCGTGTGACTACTCCGCTTTGTCCTTGCCTTGGAGGTATATGGGACCCCCCCTACAGCCATAGGTCCCTGAAGAAGCACACCTGTCAAACAGCTAAGAATCGTGGTGCCCCCTGGTTAGTTGTCTAAGTCAAAGACATGGGAACACTTGTAGGTGTTCTAGAAATATCTTAACTGCTACCAAACTATATGATCCTAAGAAACCCACATAGCAGATGATTTAGACCTCACCTCACTTCCTCAACAAGGAGCTAAGAAGACTAAACAGGGTTAGAGCTGTGAAGACATCATGACCATTACAAGCAAGAGTCTAGTTTCTGAGGATTTGCCTTATTCTGCTTGGATGTTTATGTATGTGCATGTATGTATCTGTAGTTGCTATGTGCAGGTGTTTATGGGTACTCAGGTGCATGGGTATGCAAGTGCATATTAAAGCCAGATAACACCTTTGGATGCCACGCCTTAGGACTGCCCACCTTATGTTTTGAGATGGGATCTCTCACTGGCTGGGCTGGCTGGTTAGCCAGTGAGCCACCGAGGATTTTCCGTCTCCAATTCCAAAAGTTGAGATTATAACCATATACCACTATACCCAGATTTTTATGTGAGTGCTGGAGTCAAACTCAGGTCCTCGTGTATATGTGGCAAACACTTTACTAGGATCCTCAGCACACAAGTTGCTTCATTCTTCAGAAATGAACTCATGTATTGGAGCAATATTTTTTCCCCAAAATGATCTCTATAGTTATTTAAGGTTTGACTTTTTTAAGAAGGTGTTTTTCCAAGACTAAACATAATTTTTACACTATTTTCAAAAAGTACATTTGCATGTAAGTGAAGAGCTCCTTTTTTCTTCTCTTCTTTCTTTCTTTCTTTCTTTCTTTCTTTCTTTCTTTCTTTCTTTCTTTCTTTCTTTCTTTCTTTTTTGACAGGGTTTCTCTGTGTCTAACAGTCCTGGAACTTGCTCTGTAGATCAGGCTGGCCTCAAACTCATAGAGATCCACCCACCTCTGCCTCCTAAGTGATGGGATTAAAGGCATGAGCCACCACTGCCCAATGGAGCCCAGCATCCTAATTAGGCTTCTTACAGGAATGCTGGCTCTCTGGTTTCCTAATGGGCAGCACTGTAAACAGCTGGAGAGCCAGCCCAGCGGCTTAGAGGAAAGAACCCTTCAAGAACCGTAAGCATGAAGGTCTCTGAGTGAGCATGGAGAGATGGCAGTTTGCCTACAGTGTCTGCTACCTTGCCACCACACCCAGATGTTTAATTCCAATGGGATCTATGGAAACAGCAGTAGAATCAGGTTGTTGGGTTTTTTAATCCCAGTAAAATCTAGACACTTAACTTTGATCACAAGGGTCAGAATTCTTTCAGAGGCGCATGGTCTAGACTTGGAAGTGTATAAAGAGCT